TTCTCCTGGCTTCCTCTGGCTACCAGAGAAATTTAAGATTTCAGTTGATGGAGTCTCTCCTCACTGATGATCTTCAGACTACCCCCTATCCCAGCTTCCTCGTTGACATGGGGTTCCTGTTTTGACAGACGCATTAGGGAGACACCCGGAAAATAGTGAGTCGAAAGCACTATTAGGTAAGTATGATCTTCATCAGAATGTATAATGGCGGGAATTCCCTGGAGTAACTGTTGTTCTGCACAATACTGTAAGTCACATCTGAGTACAAAGATAGGAAGCAGTAGGCAGGACTATATTCTGTTAGCATGACAGAGACACTTAATTATCAGGAGAGTCAAAACACACCATCTATAATCAAAAGTTTCTCCTAGGGAATTTCTGGCTTGTGGGTCAAACTCTCTTGCTTCGCAATTCCTGTTGAATCCCCAAGAGACTGGAGACCAATACAGGCCTTAAACTGAAACTGGACATGTGCTTCTTTCTTGTCAGTGGATGCTGGAACTTTATAACTTGGTTAAAAATTCTGATTTCTAAAAGTTCAGCCTTTGATTCAAGTCAGAGTGGATGGGCATTGGCCTTATGATGCAAGAAGTAAAGTGCATTCAAGTCTTTTTAAAAATATAAAATACTAATGGTCACATATTTAAATAACTTTGGAGAATGATATAATGTAATGCTCTTTTTGAAAAAAAGGGGAGACTACTAATTAGGTATATAATCTAATAAACAGTGTATAACACTGACCACTTTACAAAAAAGTACTGATATTTGTTAAGAAAAGACATCAGAAGAATTACTGAAAAAAGTAACACATTCCACTCATATTTTAAGATTATTATTATATACTTATTTTAATTCCTTTTCAATTTTTTTTTTTAATCAAGAAAGCTGCCTCTACCTGAGAAAACTGTGCAAACCCTTGCTTGGATATTCCTGTTTTGGCTTGGACTTTGCCTTGTATTTCTTCTAGTTAGTAATCTGAGCTTGAGATCAGTTCTTAAGACACGGACCCATTTCAAAACTGTACAAAGTTTAGATGTGATTATTTGATTTGATTAGTTTACCTATTTGATGAAAGATCAGTCAATACCTAATTCAAAGGGAAAAAAATAGTATAAGGAAGTCAAAAAACCCCAGGAAGAATAGTCAACACTCTAGCTAAATTCAAACAATCCCTGATTTATACACTCACATCTGCTTGCATTCCCTGAAAAACACTTATTGTTCTGAGTAAAAATATTCTTTTCCTCCACTGCACACTGTGTCCAATCTTTTAAATAAATCAGTGTCCTGAAGGGTGGTTCCAAAGTGAATGGAACTGGACTGTTCTTTGTGGTGTCAGATGACAGAACAAGGAGCAATGGGAAGTTTGGGTTAGCTATTAGGAAAAACTCTCTCACTAGGAGGGTAGTAAAGAACTAGAACAAGTTACCCAGAGAGATTGTGGACTCTTGATCCTTGGAGGTTTTTAAGACCTGGCTAGACAAAAACCTTGGCTGGGATGTTCTAATTGGGGCTGGTCCTGCTCTGAGCAGGGGGTTGGACTAGATCACCTCCTCAGGTCCCTTCCAACCCTGATTTTCTATGATTCTATGATTCAGGGAATGCTAGACCTCAATCAAGGGAGCAGTGCCAGTTGGAGTCATGAGACAACTTTCAACTATCAGCTAACATTACTGGATTACTGTAAAAGGGATGCAGTGCACCCTCTGGTAAGGTGCTCCATGCCTCTCTTATCCAAGTTCTGCAATGTTTAACCCACAGTATTATAAAGAAAAGTGTATTTTTAAGATACCATTTCTATATAGTAGCAGGAAAGCCATTAACATTTAACCCAGTTAGGATTAGCCAGTCCTAGAGAGAATTTGTACAATACTGAATAGTTGATAGTCTAATGAATTTGTAGATTAAAATCAACTTTTAAAGCCTTGCTGTTAATGTAATTAAAGTCATCATCAGTCTTTTTCTAAGTGTCTGTAGCGTGGAGTCACAGTCCATTAGGAGAACATGTTAGCATTGTTCATAACAGGATGTAAACGAAATAATCATGTAATCAGAACTATTTTAACATCAATAATGCCTTAGAGTGGTTATTCTGTATAGCTGTGACACACAATACCTTTTTTCCCCTGATCAGATTAAAATGATGATGAATTCCTCGATGGCTCAAGTGTGCTCCAAGGAAAGCTAGAAGGTTGTACAGTTAACTCCCAGGGTGTAACTCTAAACCATACAACCTACTACCTCAACCCGGATGCACACAGATTCCAACGGTGACCATAAAATCTTCTTCATATCTTCAGCCTTTCTTTCAAATATGGCAGCCATATACATATGTCCTCTCTATATTGACTGATGGGCTTTCAAAATGTTGAAGACAGAACTCTATTTTCAATCATCTTCCATTTTTGATGTAATAATTAAAAGATTGGGTTTAGATTTATTGTCTTGTGCACATACTCATAATATATCTTATGCAGATTTTTATAGTAAAATTTTGAAAGACATCATGAAAATCCAACTATGTTTCTGGAAGAACTCCTTTTGATTGTTTCCTCTTTTTTTAAATTAAACTTAAGTAGCCATCTAAATTACAAATACTTCCCTCAACCAATGCATATTTGAACTCAATATTTTATAGATTATATTATTGAAACAAACATACCAAATCTTCTATTCAAGCTCTGTGAAAAAAAAAATTCTCACATAGGATACAATGTTAATCTGATATTAAGCTAAATGTGCTTTAAAAAAACCAAAGGGATAACAAAAATAATGAATTAGCCATATTTAAAAATCACTACAGAATATACTATTGAGGCAAACAACAAGAAAAGCAGGACAGAAACACAAGTGGATGAAAAACTCCAAAACCTACTTTTCCTTGAAACAGACACATAGGCAGCATGGCTTGTTTTTAAATACCACAAAGCAGCATGTCGTATAACCTTTTGCCAGATAACCACACTGACACAGACCCATAGAAGCGAGCTTGTGCAGTGTACTTTACCACAAGATCGGATCTACGGGTTTATGCCAACTGGCACCATCAGCTAACATCTTCCATTTAATGAGACATGGGAAAAATAATGTATGAAGCCTTTATAATGATGAGGTCAGAGAGTAGCAATGTTGAAATTAACTGTAAAGATCCCTAGTTAAAATATGTATTTCTAATCTGAGGCCATGGCCTTCACCAAAAAGAAAGAAAGAAAGAAACTCTGCTTTTTATTTTTAAACAGAAAATATGAAAGAAATACACATTTTACAGGCTTGTCACATAATGTTTTTTTTATCCACAAATGGATACAAGCATTATTTTGATCATAATGCTGCTTATTGGTGCAGCCACAAATCTCAGTAACTTCAATAGATGTATTTCATGAAACCAGATGCAGGATCAGGCCATATAAGAAGACATGAAATAGTACGAATGGTACAAGTTTGGGTTCAATATTTTAGCGTGGATATTGTACTACAAGCCAATAATGAAAATTAAACCACAACATCTAAAAAGCCACCATATATAACAGATGGGCTCTTTCAGATAACCCTTTAAAGACTGGTCAAAAACTTCTTCAGATTGAAGTGTTTTCAGATACTACCTACACAAAAGCTTTTTGATTAAGCGATGCATATTAAATTAACCACAGAAGTCAATTCATATCTTTTGTCCACTAAAATTTCTAACAACACTGCTGCCTGATAAATAATACAGCAACTGTAAAAACAACTTTATAACACTTCAGGGCTAACTCATAAAACATGTAACTTCTTTGTTGCGACTGATAAAACATTATGATGCAAATATCTGTACACACAAAATACAACATGCAACAGACTAAAATGAGTCCCTTTTGAGGACATATTTAGTAATTCTGTGGATGAAACAGAGATGCATTTTTATCATATAAATATTTTAAGTTAGTATACTTCTAAATAGTGCATTTTATCATCTTAATATTTTTTAAAAAATGATATGCAAATGTAATTTTCAAACAATATAACTACAAAAATATATCAAAATATTGCCAGGAATGCATCCCTTAAAATAAGGGCTGTTGAAATGTCTCTTTAATATTGGTGTCACAAAATACTGAAATTTCTTTCTGAACTACATTTCAGTATCTTCTTTCATAGATTCCCACTATAGACCCAAATCTTTACAATGCAGTACTCTATTTAAGAGAAGAAAACTGCTAGCATAAGGGGCTACTGGATCAGGTACATACTGTATTATCTGAAAAACTGCAACAAATGTTTCTAATTCAATAAGGGTAATAATGATTGAATGCCAGTGAACAGGCATTGTAATTCTGAACATTTCAGTTGATTAAATATTAGAATATCTACTGTAAATTGTTGGTTGTTTTCCCGTCCATTTCTTTTTACTTTTCTATGTTTTGGTAATGATTTCAATACATTGCTATACTTCTTTGCAAAACTGATATAAATTCAAAAGCAACCACACTATCATTTTTTTCTGTTGAAGCTGAAGAGTTAAAATATATTGCAACAAAGAAGAATTCCTAAAACAAAAATTGTTATCATAGTATCAAACATATGGATACTGATTGCTTACATATCTTACCAATTGATACTAATGGATGCTGTGAAAGAGTACTACTCAGGGATTTCCCTTTCTAAGAAAGACTAGAAGGTATTCAGTGTTTCATAAAAAAAACACACTGACCACTGCATTTCATACACACATACACGCAAATGCACATGCACACACAGAGTAAAAGACATGGATTATATATTGATTTTTTTTAGGTTCCTTTAAATCTACATGGGGGAAAAATATTATAAAAGTAGACAGCAGTGCCCTATTCCCTACAGAGAACAATCAAAGCAAAGTTTATATGTAAGAATATATTTCTATATTTCTTTTTAATGAAAAAACCTTCTTTAAAATTAATACTTCTAATATTCTTGCCACAAGTCTTGCCAGTAACAGAAAAATATTAAAAACATGTTTAAGGAGTTCATTTTATTACCTTTGTTGATTTCTGTTATTAACAACTTCTTCATTTTCCATTCTGTTTTAAATTTTCCGATCACTAAAACAAGAACATTGGTGAGAGAGAAATGTTGGAATAATTATTTTAAAGATAATCTGAGACATGTAAAACAGTATTAATACTAATTGTGAAGAGATGGAATCAACATATTGTTGATTACCCTCTCAAGGCCATGGGAAGACACTCAGTGAGCACACAGACTTTGTGACTCTGCTATTTTGTATTTCTTTATTTATTTTTCTCCAAATATTGTAATATTATGATTATTCCAAAGTAGAGGAGTGTTGCTGGTAGGAAATCAATAGGATTTGTTTCGACATGTTCATTAGATTTTAATGTGGTATGTAGATTACTATGAAAATAGTAATCAGGTAAGTTCAGTTACCCTTAAAATATTTTTTAAACAAGCATTAGTTACAAAAAAGTCTTAGAAACAGTTACTTAATTGCTATACTTGTTTTAAAAAGTTGTATGCTCATTTAGGCAAATGTAGACATAAATTTTCATTATTCCAGTAAGCATTATTGACATATGAAAGTATTCTAACAGAGCTATTGGGGAAAAAATTACTATGCACATAGTAAATCCTTTTTTGTGAATGAAGATCTCTCTCACAAACATATATATATATATATATATATATATATATATATATAT